CGCAAATATTTGACAAAAAAATCAGTGGAGGTCATAATCCATGCCTTGATAACAACGAAGTTGGACTACTGTAATTCACTCATGTACGGCTTGCCTAAACGTCTTCTTTCGAAGCTGCAATCAGTCCAAAATTCGGCTGCTCGGATTGTTACCTTGTCTTGGAAATATGATCATATCACACCACTCTTAATTCAACTACATTGGCTTCCTGTTCACTACCGAATCGTTTTTAAAATTCTTCTATTGGTTTATAAGTCAATGAACGGAGCTTGTCCACTCTACTTGTCTAGTTGCTTGCAACATCGAACATCCACCCGATCCCTCCGCTCAGTAGCAAATGAGCTTTTACTGGTGCCTTCTTCCAAAAGTAAAACTTATGGTGACAGATCCTTCGCTGTATGTGCTCCAAAACTATGGAACAAACTTCCACACAGTTTGCGAAAGGCATCCTGTATATCGACTTTTAAAAAGGATCTCAAAACTTATCTTTTTAAACTTTTTATTAATAATAGTTCCCTATATCTTTCGTTTGATTGATATAGCTGGGTCTGTAAGTTTATTTAAGTATACAGCATGTACATAAATGTAAATAATTTTATCGACTTCTTCTTATTTGTGAAGCGCCTTGAACTTTTGGATATGTGCGCTATAGAAATCGAGGATATTATTATTATTAATATTAAAGAAAGAATATTGAGAAACAACCAAATATATCAGTATCACTCACTCACCATTCAGTAACAAGATTGGGCTTCGTCCACAACTATCGCTTTTAAATTGTCTGTATATTTCGTCGATTATAATAAAAATTCAAAAACTTTCATGTTCTCCAATTGATTGCTGCCGTATTCAATGACTCTCCCAAACTACACACATTGTATCCTTCGATTCATCAACTTGAACAGCTTTCATAATAAATTGAAACATTTACATGATCCTTTAGTTTACTGATTTGGTCAATCATTAAAACATTTAATGGTGAAATCCGGATCAAATTAATGTTTATCTTGCATGCAAAACATTATTTCTTTCGAGAAATTCTCAAAGTTCACTCCTTGCAAAAAAAGATGCAGAGTCAGCATTTTATTACGTTTACTTCCGGCAAACTACAAGATTTTTGAAGTTCCGGTTTTGGTTTTCGCCAGGGCCTCCGGCAACGCAGTGTCAGCCGTGAGACCCTGGGACTGAGGATGAGGGCAGGTGGATAAATCACTATCTAACTTTGGAATCAGATTCCAATGAGGTTGATGCTTTTCAGAAATTTGGTGAGGATGATTTTGACCAGGAAAGCGTGTCAAATGTTCTAGAATCATTTGTGTGCGAGGTGTATGCCAGGAATAGCAATTGCCGAACATTTGGGGAACTGAGATGGGAACTATTCAGAACCAAGAATCTTGAGTCGGAAAAGTTGCCACCCACTCTTGGAGCACTGACACCGCACATTCAGAAAGCCAATGCTATATCGGCAATCAACAAAGGCTACAGAGACCCACGCCCGCAAACACCACTACTGACTGATAATGGATGGGAGACAATATCCGATGGCACAATTTCTCCAAAGAAATGTCTTGAACCACCTGCACCTGAGTCAGTTGAAGTCAGCTTGTCAAGTGTGGATGTCGTAGTGAGTGCAGTACAGCTCGTTGTTTTTGCCACAAGAATAACTTACCCTGCACACCACTTTGCAAATGTGGTCACTGCAGCAACGCTAGTGACTTTGACGTACCAGATCAGGATGGAGACATTGATGAATAAACAGGATAGATGGACATATTAAATTAAAACTAAACTATTTTGTATATGTTGTAAGCTTTATTAAAGAAGTTGCGTTAAGAATCTCAACGCGTATTTCCAGCATATTTGCTTTCCAATGTACCTACAAACTGAGATAAACACAGAGTGAATGAAAAAAGACAAGGCCGCCACTTTGAAAAAAGACATGGCCGCCATGTTAAAACCAAACGAATTATTAAAATAATTGAAGAAGCAATCGGTAAAAGAACTATAACCAACTTTCTTATACTCAAAATTAACAAGTATGGACAATATAGTTGTTCTACGGTGCCGACGAGCTAAATTATAGAACAAAACATAATACAAAAATGGACGCCATTTTGAAAAAAATGGCCGCCCTTTTGAATCTCAATTTTTTAACTGATGACGTGAAGAAAAAAATGGTACTTAACTTTTTTGAAATCAGCACTCCAAAATTGACAAAGTTGGCTGATAAAATCCATTTTGGCACGAAAATCCAGCTGGAATACACAGTAAATCTTACTAATAGATGTGATACCGTGATAAAATTAAGTGCAGATTTGAAGATACAGGCTCGTAAATGACACTCTAAGTAGTGTTTTTGATAGCGACTGGAACAAGACTATTACAAAGTTACGTCCGAAGGGGCCGAAGTTATGTTCGGCGAAAGGTATGGCTATATTTTTGTTTGAGACAATTGCGTAATTTGATAATACACAAACTCGATCGCTTGACTTTTAAAGCTCATAAATCGCTATAATGTTGACATCGACTAAAACTATCGCTATGAATGATGACATATTGTTACACCGAAACGAACGTGGTATTTTGAGCTTCATAGCATTGAATGAACTGAAGATATGAAACGTCAAAGCCGTATTTTTGCACTGGTGCAATACGTGAGTTTGACAAATATTGAATAAATACATAGATGGGCGGGACCATGCGTTCAGTGGGCGGGACTCAGAATGTGTTGTTTTTAGGCAGGCGGTATTTCTAGTTTCTACCGCCTGCTACGCAGGCTAATGGTGTCTCCAAGGCGTCAACAAACTTTGTGAGCAAAAATAATCGTTGAGCAAATTTTTCTTTGTTCTCTTCAGTGTCAGAACAAGTATTAAACTATCTTTTAATATCTCTGAGGTGGTTCTGAAATTCAAAGTAAAGTATTGATGGCGATTTTAGTTGTGTTGAATGCCCAGTACAAATGACGTGCTGCGCGATAGATGACGCAAATGTACCGCAAATGATCTTTCGTACGTACCTTACGCCGTTCACTCTAGATAAGAGGTCTGTATTAGAAGGAGGCATTTATTGTTATATACGGCAGTTCTATGCTATTTAAACAATGCTGTCTATACGCTTCTTAACGAACTTTTTTCCGGCTTGTGATATGTATACAGAGTATAAAAGAACTATAGTAACAAGATTTGGGGCATTTCACAACCTCGTACCCAGAATCTTTCTTTGGGAAAGATCCTGGCAGCGGCTGGTCACGTGGCTCCCACTATTTGGGTGCTAAATTGACATTTTTCTGTAGGGGGGGAGGCGTGCATGTTTGTCGCGTTGTGAAAATTGTAACTCTTAAATTAATATTTATATATACTCTATAATCTAGTGTCGAGTTACAATTCAAGCAATTTGGATCAGATTTCAATACTTTATATAGACTTGCCAAAGAAAAGCACGCGTTGGCGGCGTGGCAATAAGCCTATACAAAGTACAAGAAAATATATATCTCAGAATTAGACGGATGTGGTTGTTACTTATTTTTAATAGTGTAAAAGTCTATCCTGACACTCGGACAAAAAGAATTTATTTATTGATGAGATGTGGAATTGCAACGAAATAGCGGGATCTTTTGATTTCCGAAATATCGCCAACTGTATCCAGATTGTTGATTTATATAAAGGTATTATTAAAAACTTAAAGCCCGTCAAAAGACTATAAATTAGCCCTTGACATTGCTGAAACCCAACGATCATGGTATATGTCAAAGTATAGCTGTCTGTTGAAAATCTATGGTATTAAAATCATACATCAAAGATAAGTCGAAACACAATATATTACAATTATATGTATGTTCAATGAGCACTGTTTAGTAGTGTTTACTACATTTATAAATTTTATAAACAGCTTTCGTTTTGACACAAGCTTTAATTTTTTGCTTTATATTCTTAATACTGCAAGTGAGATTTAAATTTTTGCTTTGTAGAATAGAATACCGTTATTTTTGAATGGACAGCTTGTATCGTCTCTGTCATATCCAGGATTGCTTGTGTATAAATGCATGTATCACTATGACACAATCAAATGAATATACAAATGTATCTGAGAGCCTTGTTTTACTTAATAGTTGCAAATGACTAAGGTTAAAGCCTTTACTATAATTATCGAATACAAATTATGTACTAAATCCAAAATTTTAAATATAAATCACTGACAGACATTTCTCTGTTTGGCTAGTATCAAATGTTTACATTTGCTAATATTGGACTCTAGTCCTAGACAAAGCAATACTGAATTTTTTTTTAAAGTCTTATGAACAAGATGCGTAGTAACCAGTAAATCCGTGCAAACCATATCAGGACAAATCTAATGGCGTATTTCAAAAATATTACAATAAACGTGTTATAAAACCGCGCTCGAGTGTGAAGAGAGAGAGCATTCAATAACAACTCGAGAGAGCACTGCGAGTAACGATTTCCTTGGTTTCTTAACTTGACTAAAAATGTAAGAATATCCTTGTAAATTCAAAGCGAAGAAAATAAACAAAAACTAGCAAGTATTTTGAACTTAATAATTCGCAAAATTTGTGTTTTTAACTGTTCAACATAATCTCCCACTGGAAGCATGTTGATGTAATTTGATACTTTCCCCACACCCCCCGGCGCTAAATTTTGGACGAGGCACGTGACCAGCCACTGCCAGGGTCTTTCCCAAAGAAAGATCCTGGGTACGAGGTTGGGCATTTCATGGGTTTGAACTAAATGTTGGCTTTTCTAGATGGAAATTATTTATAGACGTTATGTGTATACCTCCTGGTTTTAGATTGACTTGAACAACTTCTGTATTGCCCTCCTTGACAGCAATTCCGGTAAATCCAGTTGCATTAACATTGCCAACCCTTGTTGTGCGAACTTGAACCAGAAGAAAGCTTTCGTTGTTACCTAATACAAATATCGAACGGTAATGTTAATAAAATTACTTACGAAAACTGAATCTCCAGAAAGCATGCACATTGTGTGGCGTATCACCAAAACATCAACTGAACAATGTTTGGAAATACGTCTACTGGATAAGAAATTCAAACTTTAGCTAATATTATCAGTTTCACTCAAATATTTCAGGTTTTTCCCTTCCTATCCAATTCATGTTTTGCCGACTGGGATACAATAATTTGCGGACTACCTGACGACTGAGAAGTGGGGTGTGCTTACCCCCCTCCCCAACCTCTCTATCACCAGCGCCACCCCTGTCCAGCATATTTGAGAAATTTAATGGAACAGAGGGAAACGTTGTACGTAAGGACTGTTCGTATGAGCCGGGCTGGCCCGGTGAATCGGAATATGGGCCCACGGAAAGGTTGCATGTATCTCACTTCCCCCGGTTTTAATGTGAATAAAATCTTGAAAACATACAAAAATATATACGAGGCAAGATCTCGCCTCCTGCAAATTACCCCGGCGCATATGGTCAGACCCTCAGATGATGTTACCTTGAGACTGAATTGCGCCACACATATATGGTAAGCTGAAAAATGGCTTGGCATGATGGGATTCGCACCCGCGAACTATTTGAGCTACGTGAGCTGTGAGGTCAATTATAGGTTCAAGCAGGTCATCTGTATTTACAAAGTTGTCTTCCACCGTACAGTATATGAGCTATTCTGCAGTCTGTTTGGTCCAAATATTCGCTTTATATTAATTAGTAATTTACTGGATACAGTACCTCTGAGGCGATCGAATATGTTCCAAAATATTTAATTCGAGACTTCAATATTGTGAACCCAATATTGTAAGATGAAACGTAATATTTTGCAATATTTTGCGAAGATGAGTTACAATAGGTGTTTTATTATATCCATGTTATATAAGAACGTTTTGATTGTATATATAATATACATGTTATATAAAAACGTTTTGATTGGCTGAAATCCGTGCTCAATAACACGATTGAGCACGGGGGCAAAAAGGCGGGAAATTTCATCTGGTTTCGGGGAAAAGTTTCCTCTAGAATTTTCACAAAAACTTTCATTTGTTTAAATCATGTATAAACTCTCATCTATAAACTCACAGTTTCCAGGACATAGGTTATACTATGTCGTGCAAAACAAATGAAAAATTCAAGACTAGTATAAAGAAAAACATGAACAGAGTCAAACCACAACACAATGATTATAGTCTATAACTAGAGGGCACTCAGAGACTGCATACCTCCGCCCCCATTGAATTTCGATCGTGTGAAATGCAACTAAGACAATAGATAATGAAGGTTGAAGCTTAATGAGGTTTATCATCTCATTATTGTTGTCTTATTGCATACATTATGCACGTCCTAATTACGCATTCAGTGAGTTTTTTTTAATTGACCGGGAAAAGCAAGACAAAATTTTGTTCATTTCTCGTTCAATTTTTAACCAAATTCAATCAAATTTTAATCAGTTCTTCCTTAGCCGATGGGAAATGCATTAAAAAAAATTCGTACGAATATGTTTGGTATTTCTTGAGTTATCGCCCTCACAGACAAACACACACACACACACCCACACATACAAACCCAGATGATTACATAGGTAAAAAGACTTGGGAAAGGGCACAAACCACAAGAAGCTGCATGCCTCGACTGATGACGAGATAACTGCATGCATTGTTTTTCTTCAAGAGTTATAGGATTCATTCACCACAAGCGCTTAACATTCTCTGGTTCAATAATTGTTTGCACTTTGGCTTGAGGGGAGGCAACTCAGGCAAGGAACAACGATACTTGAAATAGGGTGATAGAAACGGGAGTAGTGATACTCCC